TAAAAACCCTTAGTCCCCCCTAGTCCTGCAAAGTCCCCCTTAGTCCCCCCCACAAAGAGCTTAGTCCCCGCTTAGTCCCCTGTGCAGAGGACTAAAGCCTATAGTACACAAAACCACAAGCACACCCTCACTCTCACTCGCGCGCCCACACCCGCACCATGGGTGTGGGTGTGTGTGTGGGTCCCAGACCAACACCCACACCCTCAGTCACCCCCCCCCCCTCACTCCTAGACTCACGTTTCAGTTTGAAATCAAGTATTATTTTTATTTGATAAATTCAGACTGAAATTAAATAGCCCATTGTATGGTAATTATGGACAAAAAGGATTACATCAATAAGATTGAAGGAAAATTAAATGATCCAAATACTTTTGAACAAGCAAAGAAAGATCCAACAACTACAATAAAAACAGAAATTAATAAAAAGGTTACCAAGTTATTAAATCAAAACAAAATTATGGAGAAAAATAAATCTTATTTAACATCAATTGATGATCTCCCTAAATTACGTGTTCAACCTAAATTACATAAGAACAATACCCCGATGAGAATCACTTGTTCAAGAGATACAATAACATCACCATTATCTCAATTAATATTTAAAATCATTAAAGAATTAACAACAACATTAAGTGGTGTTGTGTGTAATACTTCAAACTTTGTAAAAGGTTTGGCAGATATTGAATTAGACCAAGATGATCATGTAGCAAGTCTTGACATTCAAGATTTGTATACAAACATACCAGTTAATAAAGCAATTGACATTGCACTAAAACGGCTAGATGAATCTAAAAAATTAGACAATTTACCATTTACCAAAACTGATACTAAAGACATTAAATTTAGCTTTAAAAAACAGTTATTGTCAATTCAATAGTAAATTTTATAAACAAAAGACAGGTTTACCTATTGGTAACCCATTATCACCAATATTAGCCGACTTATACGTGGATGAATATCAAAAGCAACATTTCATGAAATAAACATTCCAAATAAAATTTGGAGATATGTTAATGATATTCTAATTATTACGAAAATGAATAAACAAGAATTAGATAATTATGTAAATAATTTAAATAAAATACGTGGGGCAATTAAATTCACCGCAGAATTTGAACAAAACAATGAATTGAAATATTTTGACACAACATTAACAAAAATTTATGTAAATAATGAAACAAGACTTAAAATCAGATGGTTTCGAAAAGACACCGCTGCAGATAGATTATTGAATTATGAATCTAGTCATGGAAAATCCATCAAAAGAAACATAGTCAAAAACATGACTACAAGAACTCTAGAAACATCACAAGATGGCCCAGATCAAACAGAAGATCTAAATAAATAAAAAAATATGTTACTAAAATCGAATTATCCATTAAAAGAAGTCGATAAATTAATTAAACAAACATGTCAAGAATTTAAATCACATAAAAAGAACTCGAATCATAAGAATAAAAATGATGAAATCCATTGTAGTTTAACACTACACACTAAAATAAAATGTGTCGTGTATATGTGTCGTACAAAAATGTGTCGCAGTATAGATGTGTCATAGCCTATATATCAATCGTTCATTCACCGTTTTCTTTCGCGAGTGCCGCTGCATATAACCGAGCCTATTGGACATACTTGACTTATGCATTTTCCTATGTCTTTTTTTTCTAAACGATTTCTCAACCATTTATTATTCGACAACATGCCGAGAGGTCACTAGATGATCGAGAATGGACTGCCTCGAAGTAGCTTGATCGAGATCAAATGATCTCGAAACAGCTAGATCTTAAGATCTATCTTCTTGAAATTCAAGAATAGGTGCTATTATTTGAAAATAACTGAAAAAATAGCAACTATTTGAATTTAAAAAAAATAAATCTCGCGCCGAAAAATGGATTCGAACCACGAGTTTAAAATGTGTCGCATGTGTCGCACAAGAATGTGTCGTACGTCCGCTGGAAGAAATGTGTCGCAACGAGCTCCTCGTGTCGCATATTTATGTGTTGTACGTTGTGTCGCAAAGTGCGACACATGCGACACATTTTATCTTAGTGTGTACCATATGTTCCTGGTATGGAGGTATTAAAAAGGAAACTCAAGAAGAAATTAAAAATAAAATAAAATTTTTCCTATCCATACAAACTATAATCACAATTTAACCAGTCATTAAAAGTTCCATCAAAATCTGTCATTTACCAAATCCCTTACTCATGTGAACAAACTTATGTTGGACAAACCAAAGTTGAAATAGATAAACGTATGAAACAACATTCAAAAACTATAAACGATCAGCAATAGTTAAACATTTTCAAAAGAAATTTCAATGTTTCTTTGATACAAATGATGCATTGATCATTGAAGAAGAAAAAGATTATTGAAAAAGACGTACGAGAGAAGCAATATATTCAATAATAAGTGAATCAATAAATACACATAAGAAAATTTATACAGTATGGGCATCAATATTACAAAAAGCAAAACATCAAATTCAAAGAAAATTCAATCAGGTCGAGAAAACTATAACAAATACAAAAGAAATAAGGTTTAACGAAAAACAAGACGTTGATAGTGATACGGAAAAAAGGATTCGATCCTTATCTAGCTATTACTATTGCCGTCTTGTTTTCCGTATCACTATCAAAAGTATGACTAAAACTAAAGAAAAAGAAAAAAAAATGATTTGTTTATATGTACATGTCATTTGTCTTAATTGTAAGGTCTGATGAAGCATCTCATCGAGATACGAAACGTCAAAATTTGCAAATTTGTAAATTTAAATAAAATATTAATATCAAATCAAATAAATTGACTTCAATATAAAATAAAATAAAAGAAGAGAAATAAATCGTGCCTAATATTCACTATTTGGAATGATCGGTTCTACTATCCATTCAAAAACACGGCGAACTTAATTGTATTACGAATAAATTGGGCATGAAAGCAATGGTATACAAATAATTATCAAACATTTAGGTCACCAATAACATATATTATTTTTGAAGGTGCTTTTAAAAAATAATCATTGTCGAACACTAAAGTTTTTATTTGTATAAAATATTAAATTTATTTTAACTGTTCAAATAAACTCACAAATGAGTAAGTCAACTTAAGTTTCAACTCATTAGGTTGAAATTTTTGTAGTTTTCGTAATCTAACTATGTATTGGTTTATTAATGAAAGTTTTATATAAATTCATGACTATATTTTACCATGGGTAACATTTATGACATCTTTGACGTTATTTTGGCCCTATATTATTGAAATCGAAAAGTACTTTGCGAATATATTCTTTCTATTAGGTGATGCCATTGCAACAATTATCAAAATTTTTTTTGACAACTTTTTTAATTATTCGTATTTTAGTAATTTATTAATGAAAATAAATGTAGTTGAATGAGTGTTATTACCAGTAACAATATTAAGAATTACATTTTTAATAAATAAAATATGATCAACTTTTTTGTTTTTAATATTAATCTGTTGAGTATCTAAAAACAAGCTTTTGCGAGAGTGAGTGGATGTGAGTTTGGGTGCGTATTTTCTGCGAACGCACAGTCACAACTCCACCTACATACTGCCTTTAAAACACTCGATCAATAGGATGATAATTACACTGTACACTCGTCTTTGCCATCAACAAGTCGATGCTACGCCTTGAATTGCATAGTCTTCAAGTCAGCTAGAAGGTCTTGTGAAGTTTCTTCACGCCTTTCGGCGCGCTCTTCAAATGTCTTTTGATTTTTTGCTAGCCACTCAGCTTCCTTTCCAGCTGCAGCAATCATAATGCCGTCTTCGGCAACATTTTCTGGGTTCATTTCGTCCAGACCGATGAGATGACAACGCTCACCCACAATTGTCATCCATGCGTCATTGATCTGAGTAATTATCGACTCCTTTGTTGCTGCCGATCGTCCAGCTCGAATTCGTCCGACGATTCGTACTTTGTGGCGGAGCTTGTTGTTGACAAACTCGACCTTTTTTTAAGAAAAAGAAAAGCAATAAGAGAAACAATCTGCTTATCGGTTTACATTATCATCGGTTGTGTGAAATACAACATTGACGAAGGTAGGTGGAGCACCAGCCATAGAGCAGTGAATGCGTGTGATTTCCTTGCAGATCTGCTTCTTTTGCTTGATGTTGAGCAGCGTTGATGGATGCTCGATGATGTATAGAGGCATGTTAAAATGATACCACACTGGTGATGGACTGTCTGATAAATAAAGTCATTGCTATCATATCTTTTCCATTCTTTTATTTTAGCCTTCTTCTTTCTGTCATTATGTTCGTTCTTATCTACGTGTGCAAACTTGTTATTCTATCAGCTACTTGAAGAGTTTGATCTTTAGGTAGCTGAGACATGTCTAACGCCAAAATGAGAAATTAATAGATTACCCATGAGACCACCTAGGTCGTAGGATGGTGACTGAAGGCACTTGAGCCTTCAACAGGACAAAATGCCATTTTGACGAGGGTACAAGAGAGAAAATTCGTGAAGCAAAGCCTTTTTCGCCAGTGCAAACTTTGTTTGTCGACGCTTAGTTTCACTCAGAAAATTTCTGCCTCAGAGTCTGATCCCTACCCAAGCTAGCGGCCGACAACGATCTATTGAAGCTGAATGTCTAGTTCGAAAATTTATGTAAAATTACTGCACGATCCAAAGTTAATCTTTCGGAGATATGAGGTTTTTATTAAAAGTCCTGTCAAAATTTGCATAAAAGGCGTAGAAACAATACAATAGACTATCTCTTTCATTATCGATTTTGTTTTCATTCTCGAGCTGCTTTGACCACATTTAGCAAGCACCTATACCTTTCTACTGTTCATCTGCAGATAGTAAAAGGTGTATCTTTTGATATAACAATATATGAGCTAAACTATGTACTACGGCCATTCTTCATATTGAAAACAACTTGGCTACCAGAGCTAAGTTTTCAGGTGTGGGTGTGTGCGTGGGAGAGAGTGAATGTGAGAAGAGAAGACCGACACTCACACCCACCCACACACCACATCGACACCCCACACGCATGTAATGCTATTACCGCACGTTATGCTATTCTAATTCTACAGATTGTACAAAGCTAGTTATTTACAATACACATTTATTGTTCTGTTGAATTCGTAGCTGAGATTCCAATGTAGTGTGAGTAATTTTTTGTGCAGCGATATTATTTGCTTGATTATGATAGACAGTTTCTTGGAACGTTCTAAAACCAAAGAGTATTCTTATTCATGTTGTTGTTAGCTCAAATTTATTCTGTTTCAAATTGTTACCTACGATTTCAGATACATGAGCAGAAGTAAAATAATAAAAAAATCAATATTTTCTTGGCGACATAAAGCCAAGAGAACCACGAGTCTACTTCCCATAGTATCAACGTGAGCCCTGATTGTCTTCCCTTCAAGCATTTCGCACTAAAAGCTTCTCGATAGATTGAATCAGTATGCTCTCACTTCGTAATACACAGAGAACATTGCTCCATGATTTTTTTTCGAATATCGGGGACCAACAACCACTCAACCGTAAGATTCCAGTTCGACCTAGTTGGTAACATGTGTAACGTTTTTGGTTGAGATTCTGCACCACTTTCTCGAGAGTCGTTGTTGACCACATACCAACACTATGATATTCGAAAATTAATAGTCGCACTTGATGTTCATTCAAGAGTTGATCGGCGCCTTGAAGCACCAATGGATCGAATCCTTCGGTATCGATCTTCAATACATCAATGCGACGACGGATTTTATGCAGCCGAGTAAAATAATCCAGCGTGGTAATGTTCACTTCAACATAGCCATTTCTGTTTTTAATATTGGTATTCGTAACGAGTCCACACGATTCAGCTCCTGCACCACACGCATTCAGCAGAGCAACATCTGTGT